ACGCTGAGGAGGAGATGGATGTGGTCATTGAGGATGTGGTGGTTGATGGGGCACTGGATGCAGCTGTCCAGTCGGCAGTCATTGATGCTCTGGATGTGGAGGATCTCAGTTTGGTTGTCAGCTGACTGGTCATAGATGCACTGGATGTGGTTGTGTGCAGAGTGGTGGTCGGGACACTGGATGAGGTGTTTGGCTGTGTAGCTGTGGAAGAGATGGATGTGGTCATTGAGGATGTGGTGGTGGTTGATGTTGTGGAAATGGAGGAGCTAGGTGTGATTTTCAGCTGAGTGGTCGTGGATGCGCTGGGTGTGGTTGTCTGCTGAGTGGTCGTGGATGCGCTGGGTGTGGTTGTCTGCTGAGTGGTCGTGGATGCGCTGGGTGTGGTTGTCTGCTGAGTGGTTGTCGGGGCAGTCAATGTGGAAGCTGTGGAGGAGATGGATGTGGTTATTGAGGATGTGGTTGCCGATGCTCTGGATGTGGAGGAGCTGGGTGTGGTTGTCTGCTGAGTGGTCGTGGATCTGCTGACTGTGGTTGTCTGCTGAGTGGTCGTGGATGCCCTGGGTGTGGTTGTGTGTTGAGTGGTCGTGGATGCGCTGGGTGTGATTGTGTGCCTTGTGGTTGTTGGGGCATTGGATGTGGTTGTCGAATCCGTGTTTGTTGATGCTCTGGGTGTGGAAGAGCTGGGTATGGTTGTCAGATGAATGGTTGGTGGGGCACTGGATGCAGCTGTCCAGTCGGCGGTCGTTGACGCTCTGGATGTGGAGGAGCTGGGTGTAGTTGTCAGATGACTGGTTGTTGGGGCACTGGATGACGCTCTGGATGTGGAGGAGCTTGGTGTGGTTGTCAGCCGAGTGGGCGTGGATCCACTGAATGCGGTTGTGTGCCGAGTGGTTGTCGGGACACTGGATGAGGAAGCTGTGGAGAAGATGGATGTGGTCATTGAGGATGTGGTTGCTGATGCCCTGGATGTGGAGGAGCTGAGTGTGGTTGTCTGCCGAGTGGTCGTGGATCCACTGAATGCGGTTGTGTGCTGAGTGATTGTTGGGACACTGGATGTGGTTGTCGAATCTGTCGTAAATGTTGTGGATGTGGAGGAGCTGGGTTTGGTTGTCCGCCGAGTGGTTGAGGATGCACTGGGTGTGGTTGTCTCCTTAGTGGTTGTTGACGCACTGGATGTTGCCTCCTGCTCAGTGATTGTTGGGGCACTGGATGAGGCAATTGGCCGTGTAGCTGTGGAGGAGATGGATGTGATTGTTGATGCTGTGGATGTGGA